AGATTATTGATTCAATATCTTACTTGTTATAAGTCTGTTGTATTAGTCTGTGTCTGTTGCTTATAACAGAATACCTGAAAATGGGTAATTTACAAAGTAATGAAATTTATTTCTTTGAGTTTTGGAGGCTGGAAAGTCCAAAGTCCAGGTCACACATCTGCTGATGGCCTTCTACAGTAACACAGGGTGTCACATGGCAAATGGACTAAGCAAGAGAGCTAACCTCCTCACTTGCTCTCCTTTTAAAGCCATCAGAACCACACACATAACCACCCATTAAACCATCACTGAATCAATCCATTCATGAAGGTAGAGTCCTCACAATCTAATCACTTCTTAAAGGTCCCACCTTTCAATAACCATAATAGGACTTCCCATCATCTTAACACTGTTACATTGGGGAAAAAGTTTCCAGTATATGAACCTTTGGGGGACACAATTTAACCCATAGCATCTGTTGAGATTTTCTATTTCTACTTGAGTCAATTTTAGTTTGTATATTTCTAGGAATTTGTTCACTTCATTTAGGTTATCTAACTGGTTGCCACATAATCATTTATTGTATTCTCTTATAAGACTTTATTATTACTGTAAGGTTGGTAGTAATGTCTCTGCTTTCATATCTGATTTTAGTAATTTGAGTCTTTTTTCTTAGTCCATCTAGCTAGAGGTTTGTCAATCTTGTTGATCTTTTCAAGAAGCAACTTTTGATTTTATCTATTGTTTTCTGTTCCCTATTTTATTTATCTCTGCTCTAATCTTTATTATTTCCTGTCTTTGCTAGCATTGGGTTTAGTTTGTTTTCTTTTTGAGTTCTTTTAGGTATAAAATTAGGTTATTGAACTGAGAGATCTTTCCTTTCATTATGTAGGCATTTATAGCTATAAATTTCCCTCAAAAACTGCTTTCACTGGGTCTCGTAAATTTTTGTATGCTGTATTTACATTTTTATTCATCTCTAAGTATTTTTTTTTTTTTTTCGTGTCCGGCAATGGATCGCAACCCTCAGTGCTGCACCCGCACCTCGCTCAGCCAGTGAGCAGGAACCGGTCTGTATGTGGGATCTGAACCCTTGGCGGGAGCGCCGCCGCACTCCCAAGCGGCGCACTGTAGCAGTGCGCCACCGGGCCGGCCCCATCTCTAAGTATTTCTAATATCCCTTTTGATTTCTTCTTTGACCCACTGGTTGCTTAAGAGTGTGTTATTTAATTTTCACAAATTTGTAAATTTTTCAGTTTTCCTTCTGTTATTGATTTCTAGCTTTATTCCATGTGGTTGAAGAATATACTTTTATGATCTTTTAAAATTTATTGACACTTGTTTTGTGGCCTCTCCTGAAGAACGTTCTGTATGTTCCTGAGAAGAATGTGCATGTTCTGTGTGTTCCTGAGAAGAATGTGCATTCTGCTGTTGTTGGGTGGAGTATTCTATGCAAGTCTGTTAGGTTTAGGTGATTTATAGTGCTGTTCAAGTCCTCTATTTCCTTACTGATTTTCCACCTGGTTGTTCTATCCATTATTGAAAGCGGGATATTGAAGTCCCCAATCATTATTTTAGAAATATCTATTTCTTCCCTCAATTCTGTCAATTTTTGCTTCATATTTTTGCACTCTGCTGTTAAGTGTGCATATGGTTATAATTATTATATCTTTCTGAAAGGATTTTGAAGGATAATTTTGACTACACAGAATTTGACCTTAGTCAGTGACTCTTTGGCTTCAGCCACAGTTAAAATGCAGTACCAGTGAATTTATAATCTGTTCTCTTTACAAGTACAAAAGGACTTGAGATGTCTTATAATGAGATTGTTATTTTAAATAAATGATACTCAGATTAGAGATGACTTCTAACAATCATAGATAATAGTTTTTATTTCTTGCTCCACATGTGGAGGGAGAGAAAAGTTGATATATCAAGCTCTAGGATGTTATAGTTAATTTGACTGGACCTCTGTACTTCCTTGAAGACAAGGTAGAAAGCAAAATGAAATGGATTACATAAACTCAATATTTGAGAAGAGGAATTACTGTTATTCTCAAGAGCAGGTTATCCATTTTATTTCCCTATTACCAGACTCTTAAATAAAATTCCTGCATGTGTTATATGGTGACAGAGTTTGGATGTTATTGTCCTGCCAAAGCTCATGTCAAAATCTGATCCCCAATGTGGCAGTTTGGGGAGCAGTTTGGGTCATGGGGGTGGATCCCTCATGAGTGGATTAATGCTCGCCCTGGGGGGACGGGTCATGAGTGATTTCTCACTTTTATTAGTTCCCACAAGAGCTGGTTGTTTAAAAGACCCTGGCACCTCCCCTCTCTCTCTTGCTTCCTCTCGCCATGTGATCTGCTTGTACACACCAGCTGCCTGCTACTTTCTGCCATGAACAGAAGCATTCTGAGGCCCGTGCCAGATGTAGCTGTCCCAGAATCAGGAGCCAAATAAACCTCTTTATAAACTACCCAGTCTCAGGTATTCTGTTATAGCAACACAAAAACAGACTAATACATATGGTTATCACTTCTGTTGCCAGCCCATCTCCACCAGTACTGTCACCAGCACTGCTGCTTGTGGTGGCCAGCACTCACTGAGCCCTTCTCCCGTGCCATGTGCTGGCACATACTCCCTCTGTCACTCCTCCACAGCTCTCTGATGTGGACCAGCCAGTCCCTGTTCCACTGGCTGGGAATTGGAGGATCTGCCCAAGGCCATATGGAATAGTCCAACTGGGCCAGCAGCAGACACCACTCCAGGCATTACCCCTTCCTGGGGCCTTTCCCCCTTGACAAATGGGAAAGCTGAAAACAGAACAATCCCCTGGGGAAGGTTATTCTTCCAGAGGCCTCACTTCCTGGAAATCTAGAAAACCCACAAGAATGGTTGGGAGTCCTTAGTGTGCCTTCGACACATGCCCACAGCCACCTGTGGTGTGCTGGCTGGGCCTGCTGGCCATGCTAAGTTCATCCACCCAAACTGGTCCACTGCAAATGTCAGTTCATGGACAGAAGTTTGAGGGTGTCCCAGTGAGTGCCGTGAAAAGAGCCAGATGCCATTTGGTTGTCAGTTCCCTTGGAAAGGGGAGGGGAAAGCATCCCTTCTAAGATTGACACTGAACAGCACTCACTGAGCCCTTCTCCCGTGCCATGTGCTGGCACATACTCCCTCTGTCACTCCTCCACAGCTCTCTGATGTGGACCAGCCAGTCCCTGTTCCACTGGCTGGGAATTGGAGGATCTGCCCAAGGCCGTATGGAATAGTCCAACTGGGCCAGCAGCAGACACCACTCCAGGCATTACCCCTTCCTGGGGCCTTTCCCCCTTGACAAATGGGAAAGCTGAAAACAGAACAATCCCCTGGGGAAGGTTATTCTTCCAGAGGCCTCACTTTCTGGAAATCTAGGAAACCTACAAGAATGGTTGGGAGTCCTTAGTGTGCCTTCGACACATGCCCACAGCCACCTGTGGTGTGCTGGCTGGGCCTGCTGGCCATGCTAAGTTCATCCACCCAAACTGGTCCACTGCAAATGTCAGTTCATGGACAGAAGTTTGAGGGTGTCCCAGTGAGTGCCGTGAAAAGAGCCAGATGCCATTTGGTTGTCAGTTCCCTTGGAAAGGGGAGGGGAAAGCATCCCTTCTAAGATTGACACTGAAAACCCCTTGGCTCTGTGCAAAACGTTCACTGAGGAGGTCAAGTCTGGGGTTATGGAAGATTTGGGCATAGAGTCTTGATGGGATCACTAGGAAATGAGTGACTCTTTCCCATGGGGGCTGTAGGAAACTGCAGGTTACATTTTGAGAGGAACGGAGGTGTCTGAGGAGCTGAGCACAGCTCAGTAGGCACCGGGCTTACAACTCAGATTCCAACCTGAGCCGACCCCCTCGCAGCCCCGAAAAGAAGTGCAGGAGCCTGTTTGTTCCACAGCATCTCTAACACGGACACTGCAGTGGAAGGACCTGGGCAGTGTGTGACCCTGGCCCTTAGCCACTGTGCCTTCTGCTTCCCTCATTTCCATTTACCTGATGCTTCCTACCTGTGTGCATGCTGAAGGCATTGCAGTTTGGTTTTAACTTTAAACCTACGTTTCCCCATTTGAATCTAGCTCAGATTCATAAATGACTGACATTTCCCCATTGGGCCATAGGAGTAGAAGTGACGGGAGGACCAGGAGGAGAAGGCAGGTGCTGCAGCTCGCACGTCATTGGGCATCGGGTGTGACCTCTCTCTGTGCTGTCCCAGAGGGTAGCTTACACCCCGG